TATTTCGTCACTTAACCCCAAACAACTTTTGGTATGAAACCCCACTAATGGTTTTTTATAATTTTTAGAGATTTGAATATATAATTTTAAAAGGGGTTGTTTGTAATTTTTAGTTTTTGTAGGGACCTAGTTGTAATATTTAAAAATATCAAGTAGTTATTTATAATTTTTTATTTTTAGTGTTTGCTTGTGCTTTTTTAGATTTTAGAGGTTTTTTTGTAATTTTAGATTTCTCAGGTAGTCATTTGTGATTTTTGTATTTTTCAAGTATATGTTTGTATTTTTAGAATTCAGGGGGTTGTTTGTATTTTTAGAATTTGAGGGATTTGTTTACAATTTATATTTTTTTGGAGAACAATTTTTCAAAACAAAACAGCCCCATTTCATTTTTTTTATTTTTAAAATCGACCCTTTTTTTTATTTACCAAAACCGACCCGTTTTTTGCCACGTCAGCCTAATCACCCTCCTAAACAGTCGGGGTTGCCAACCCCGACTATTTAGGAGGGTGTTAAAATCCAATTAGAAGCCTTAAACCCTAAAATTTTATATCCTAAATAGTCGGGATTAACAACCCCGACTGTTTAGTGTTGGCCTTCTTGTTTTGATGATGTTTAACAAACAATTTACCACTAATGTTGTTTGTCTAGTATTTGTGTTTTCTTATTTATTATAGACAAACAACGTTGTTGGAGGATGGATGGATTGCGCTTCAACGATGATATCCAAAGGAGGTTGGCGGAATGTCGGTGAAGCCTTGCAATTCAAGTTAAAGATCAAGTTCAAGCTTCATCCGCAACGTGTACCAAGTCAAGCTTATTGAAGATCAAGATCGTTGCTTGGGTAATTTAGTTTAGGAATTTATATTATGTGTGTTAGTACTTTAAGCTCAATCATATACACACATACACGTTTTGGTTTTTGTATATATATAGTTATATATATACATATATGTTTTGGTTTGATAGTTTTCAAGTTTTACTATGAAACAAATGAATAGAATTGGAAAATACTATTTTGTTTCATGTTTATATGCCTATATATGATTTCACCTTTAACAAGCTTATATTTAATGAAATCATATTTAGTGTTTTGAATATATTGCATAGAATATGCAAATTTATGAAAATATTGTATTTCTAGATTATAGACTTCATAACAACATGTTATATCTTTTATCAAGTCTATACAATCATTTCATAAGGTTTCAAAATGTTGTTTAAGTCAAAATATCAAAATATCAATTTTCAGGTTTTCATGTTTTGGACTATTTTGTAAAATGATGATATTTTTCATTTGAGAAGTCCTTTTTCGAAACCAGTCGTTGTAGCATGTTTATTATTATGCCTACAATCATTCCCCAAAGTTTTACATTTTTTGGAATTTATTTGATATTTTTAAACAGTATTTTAAAATCAGCTTTGTTTTTCTGGGATGTCAGTTTTCGGTCGACCGGTACGGTCGACCGGTCAATTGACCATTCGTCAGTATTTTTCCAGAGAGTCATCGGTCGACCGGTTCGGTCGACCGACCGATAGAATTTCCGGTCGACCGACGATGGTCCAAAACGTTTTCTTCGTGTTTTTGCTCTCATCGGTCGACCGGCGGAATTTTCGGTCGACCGACAATATAGCCGTTGGCTACTAACGGCTATTTCTAAGCCGTTTCTCTGGGGGCTGTTTTGTCATTTGTTTTGGGGGTTTTTGCTGAGATTTCTAGTGTGTATACACACCCCATTGCTGATGTCTTTTCAAAGATATTAAGAGAGTTTAAAAAACAAGTTTAAGAAAGTTTTAATCAAGGGTTTATGTTTGGTTTAAGTGTGTTTATAAGCTTTTAAGCATTTGAGTGTTTTGGTTTTGTGAATCACTTCCACAAGAAGCAAGTGGAGATCATCCTTGGTGTTTGAGCATTCATTCTTCTCCCTCTCTCTTGTCATCTATAGAGAAGTTTCCTTAAACTCAATTCTAGCATTTTATAAGTTTGTTCTTAATTTCATAAGCTAGATTTCATATTGAGTTTATATTGTTTTATCTCTTTGATCACACACAACCTATTGAGCTTATTGTATTTACATTCATAGTATAATTTAGGATTGTGGGTTTGTGACATTGAGAGTGAGCTTCGAATCCAAGAGGAGTGGCGTCGGTTGACGTGCCTAGGGAGATGTTGTAACCGAGCACTTGAGGAGGAGGACACGGGCTAGGACCAACACTTAGTGTGTGAGGTGTGATTACATAGTGATTGTATTGTGAGGTGTAAACGTTGTTCGGGTGAACGTAGAAAACCCGGTTGTGATAGTGGAGATCTCCTCGAGGTGAGGAGCGGGGACGTAGGTCGTGGGGACCGAACCTCGTAAACATATCGTTTTGTTTGTGATTGCATTGGCGTTCTTATTCTTGTTTTCATATCTTATATCGCCTTTGTGTATTGCTCATCATATTACCCTATCACTTGTGTAGATTGTTTATTTTACCCTTGTGTTAGTTCATATATCCTTGCTCATATATTTGTAATATCTCATTGATAGGATATATTCATTTGTTCATATTGCTTATCCTAGCTTACGTATCTTGTTGTATTTTATACTTGCTAGGATAACTTATTAATTAGTTTTAATTGGCATTTAATCGGATTAGATTAGCATAAGACCCTAATCACCCCCCTCTAGGGTTTAACATTTAGGAGGGTGATTAAGCTGACATGATAAAAAACGGGTCGGTTTTGGTAAATAAAAAAAGATTGATTTTAAAAATAAAAAAAAATAAAATGGGGCTGTTTTGAAAAATTGTTCTTTTTTTGGATGGTTTTATTATAGTTTTATAATTTTCATAGGGCTACTTATAATTTCTATAATTTCAAGGGTTTTTTAATTTTATGGACTTATATACAAATATAAATGATTTGAGAGGTATAATGATATTTAGACATAATGTTCGTCAATGTATATTTATGAGATAATGTTTTTGTTGAGTTATATATAAAAATTAAAATATTTTTGGAGGTTCTGATATTCCCACCCTTATTGCGAGTTTCAAAATGAGGCTTAAAACTTATTGGTGGTTTGATAAAATTTATCCTTAAATAATTAAGGAGGCCTTAAATAATTAAAGAGGGCCACATAACAATTTTAATTTGTGGATAGATATTAGAATTTTTTTTATTTTGGGTGTTTTTTATTTGGTTAGGGTTATCAAATATTTGACTATAATTAGAATTTTTTAATTATGGATACATTTAATTTAATAAGAATTATTAGGTGAATATAAAATTAGGTGTCCATACGGTATCTTCTCATATGACACATGATTTTTTTTTTTGTGCTTTTAGAAAGATCACTAATTTTTTATTATAAATAAAGGAGGGAGGTAGAACATTGAGAATTTTCATTTTTCCACTTTTACAAAAACGAATAAAAGGTGAATAATACATTTGTCCATCCGTTCCATTAATGACATCACAGATTCACATATGTTGAGTAAAAAATTTGGGAAAAATGTGTCCAGGCCCCAAAAGTGGGAACTTCGTGTGACTAGCCCCCATGTACTTTGCCCCATG